TAAAGACCTCAGAAACCCAGGCCTGCCTGCTTTGAGCTGGGACCCCACTTTAGGCACATGCCCCATACCAACACTGCAGGTGGAACGGCTCTCATTGCTACCTATTTCCCCAGTTATGTATACCTGGTGATACTCCTGGGTACAAAGCAACAAATATTCTACATGGAAGAAAGGAGGCAGTAGCAAGAGAGGACATACAACTCTGGAGATCCGGAGGTCAGGAAGTCAGAACTGGTTTCCTTGGACTGGAACCAGAGTGCTGGCAGCGCCGCACTTCCCTGAACCCGTTTCATTTCCTTTCCCAGACACAGAACTGCAATCCTCACATTTTATGGCCTCATCTTCTGCCTTCAAAGCTAGAAGTATAGCACTTTGCACAGAGGTCCCACACCTGTGTTGAGTCCAATCTCTCTGCTTCTGGTGGCATGGAGAACCCATCAGGAATACAGAACAATCTCCTCAGCTCAAGTTAGGCTGGGGTGGTGGCGGTACACACCTTTGAGGCAGAGGCAGGAAGATCTCTGTGAGTTTGGGGCCAGCCTGGTCTACAGAGCGAGTTCCAGAACAGGTAGGGCTACACAGAGAAACCCTGTTTCAAAATTAACAGTGATAATGATGATGGTGATGTTCCAGGCCTATCAACTCCGTTCTGGATCAGGATGATGGGGATTGTTTCTCTCAGTAACACAGTGCCTAGGGCAGAGGACAGAGAGAGGTGACCACCGTGGTCAGAGTGCCAGATCCTTGGCCATGAAGACACCAGAGATGGGTCAGTGCATAGCAATGAGCACAGCAAATGTCACCAACTGTCCCAGGATCATGGCCTCTGCAGACACTGGAGCAGGCACAGCCAGAGATGCATGGCCTGAGAGATGCTTACGTGTCTTGGATACTGCCCTCTGTTGTGTGGCCATCACTGGAGCATGCTGCTCTTTGTAAACCACTTCCTGCCTTCCCAAAGCTGCCCAGGTGATGGGAAGGGTTGATTTCCCATGCAAGGACTCTCTGTCCTCCTTGTCCAGAGTGCCCAGTTGGCCAGAGACACTTAGTAGGCTGACTGTGACACTAAGGACACACCTAGCTGTCTGGAGACCTTCTTGGGATTCCACATCTGGAGAGGGGCAGTGCCACTGGCCACTAGTGGGCAGAAGCTGGGTATTGCTGCCCCCTTCCCCCAGGACAAAGGGTCACTAAATCTTCCAATACACTCAGAAGCCTAGGGAGCCAGCCTGTACTAAAAAATGTTGAAGCAGAGGCAGAGGGGAAAAACAATTAGTCACAAGTCCAGAAATGTATTAGGCATTTAGGGAAACTGAGGAAGGACACACCTCGCTTGCTTGGAAATGGAGATGAGTAAAGTTCTGGGTTCCACAAAATTCCAGCATAGTGCCTGCGAGGTGAGAGAGGTCCAGTCAGCTATGCTGCCAGCTAGGAGAGTGGGCTGGCCTGTGCAGCCTGAGAGGAGCCTCGAAGGTCATGGACTCCTGGGACACTGCAGTGCCAAGAATCACACAGGAAAGCTGCAGCAGTCTCATACAGACAGAGGCGAGAGCTCAGGGTCAGGCAGCTCCCCTGATTCCGTGAGCTTTCCCCTGAGGGGCCCTCCAAGGACAGCAGCTCTTGAAGCTGCCTGTGCCCACATGAGCTATAGAGAACTCAGTATCAGTCCCAGGACAGCTGCTGAAAGACCACGGGGCTGGGCTGGCACGAGGTACGGAAGATGGGACAAGGAGAGAGAAAAGGGCACTGTTGTGTGCTGTGCTGGCCCCAAGGCCATGTGACGGGCAGTAAAGACACTGTTTAAAAGTTGGCTCTTGAATGGGGAGAGGAGCTGCCTCAGAGAAATTCCCTCCCTCAACATTCAGAACCCAGCTCACAAAATGGGACACACTGAGGCTTGTGGTCCCTTCCCATCCTTCCAGAGACGCTGACAAACACTGGGGACACTAAACCATGAGCCATGGTCAACACAGCAGCTAAGAGTAGCTCCCCATCAGCCTGCACCAAACCCACATGAACCTCTTCAGACAAATGACAGGCTTAGAACAGGGTTGCTGACCTTCGGGATGAGCCCAGGACCAGTCCTCGTTCAGTCCCTCCTACAGTCTGCTTCCTGACCCTTGTAGCCACTCCCCAACGTGGCCTCATTCTTGCCTCTTTTCACCCCTTCTTTTGTTTTTAAGGCTTGGTCCCAAGAAGCCCAGGCCAGCCTTAAACTCCCTGACCTCCTGATCCTCCTGCCTCCACTCCCCATGTACTTGGGTTACAGGCCTGTGCCTGCATGCCTACACTATACAGGACTGTCCTACAGCCCACACTGCTGCCATCATCTTCAGGAGTTAGCCAGGGCCTGCTTGCCAAGGATCATCACAGGATCCTGTCAAGTTCCCTCTTGGGAGGAGGGAGTGGGAGGGTCATGGGACCCTCTCCTGAGTAGCCAGACCTATTGCGGCTGCTTTAAGGTCACCCACACTCAGTTAAGTAAGCCTAATAAACTCATTGCTTCTCAGAGAGAAGCTGGTGAAGTTACGCTTTGGTTTGTCAGCAGGACCATGGCGGGAGTACCCCAGTCTCTCAAGGAAATTTTAGCAATGCCTGGCTACTGTCCCTGCTTTTTAAAAACATTTTTTAAAGATTCATTTATTTTATGATTATGAGTTTTATGTGTGTTTTGCTTACATTTAGGCCTGTCTGGCACTTTTATGCCTGGTGCCTTCAAAGGTTAGACACTGGATCCCCTGGAACTGGAGTTATGGACAGTTACAAACAGTTGTCAGCTACCTCCAGTACCCATACTTGCCTCTTGATGGTCCTGAAACTTAAGTACACTTGAAACAATCACTGGTGTTAACAACTACTTTGTCTGGTTTTTCATTTGTTTTTAATAAAATGCTTAGCTTTTTGTGTGCTTTTGCCTTGACAATAAAGCTTAATTTAGCTTCTTTCTAACATGTCTAAACACTTCAATTAATTTCTCCCATGCATCAATAACCCTGAATGAGGCTGGAGATCCCTTGGCACTCTGGGCAGTTATCTGACTGGTGGACAGACCAAAGCCATCGCGGGTCAGTGTACCCACAGGGATGAAGATGAAAGCAGGGAAGGGACTTCTCTCCTCCCCCGAGATCCCTGTCCTGGTCCTCACATCTTCCACCTCCATTCTTCCCCCATTTTAGCCACCTTCTGCAATATTAGTACTCCTTCTCAAAAACTACCAGGGAAACACCTTCCCTTGTGACTCGGTGTCCTCAATGGACTGACCAGTGAATTGCTAACAGGTCTGTCCCAGAACAGAAGGATGAGAAAGGACTTTTCCTTCTCGAAGTGACTCAGGCGCAGGCCAGGTGACCTCCCCACAGCAGTGGTTGAGCTCCCTCTCCACATCTCTCCAGGATACACCTTGGTCTGACTTGGCCCAGAGAGGAGGTCATGAGAAGACCTGCCATCTCCTCAGGGTTCTCATTCTAGGATGTCTGGGCTCAGAGTCCAGCTGTCATCATGCTACGAGCATCTGCTATCTCTGACTTCCACATAACACACACATTGTGCCCATGCACCAGCCAGGACTACATAGGGTCAAAAAAGAAGTGTTGCAGGGGGTGGGTGGTGGGGGTGGGTATTGAGGTCGAAAGATTTAAAACTACTACTTTGCAGCCTTGTTTGGCCCTCAGGATGCTGTCTAAAGATAAACTCAATGACTGTCACATTCTGGGCATCTGCCAGCTCCCTCAAATCTGAGAGCTTATACTACACATGTCTTCTCCCCACAGCTAGGCTCCTCACACCTGGAAGAGAGGTAGTAGCCGAGGACTGAGACACCTCTCACAGTACCTGGCCCAAGGAAGTGGCCAGAAGTCTTAAGAGACAACAGCTGCAGACTCTTGAGATGTGCACAGAAAAATGAGATGAAGCGGGGCTGAGCCTCTGTGGGAGAAGATGAAGGCTCAGGCTCAACTGCAGCACACATTGTTGCTGCACACAAGACAGAAATCAGTGCAGCCCAGCAGCTCTCCCAGCCTGGAAGACTTCCTCCTCATTCCATTTGGGACCTTCAGAAACCTCAGGCTCCCTTCGGAGGAAAGCGGCTGGATGTGGGTCTGAGAACTGCAGGGGCTCTTACTCCAGACCTTCCAGAAGGATCCACAAACAGCCCCATCCCTAGGACAGACAGACCCAGGCTGGTCACCCTGCTTGGTAACAGGAAAATCCGCCGGGTGTAAGAGGCAGAGGAAGGGAAGCAGAGGCCACAAACAGCTCCTGGACCCGCTGCACATCAGAGATTAAAATAGAGCCAGGTTTCCCCAGTCTCCCCCCCCACCCCCGCAGGGACCCGCGCCATAACCCAGCATGCCAAACAGTCAAGACAATGACCATCAAACTCCCTGGTGTGCCCCTTCTGAGGGTTTCTAGAACCTGCCAGGCATCCTGAGAACAGAGAAACAGCATGAGAAGCCCAAAGCATTGTTAAATTCTGCTGAGGGCTCCAAAGCCCAGCAGAGAAGGAAGAACCCCTGTCCCTGAGCAAATGTGATGGCACACACCTCCAGTTCCAGCACTTGGGATGGAGAAGAAAAGGATCTGGAGTTCCAGACCAGCCTGGCTACCTATCTCAGTTCTGTCTCCAAGAAACCAAACAGCAACACATTTACGGCGTAAATGGAAGAAAATGATGGACGGCATCTTGGTGACCCATTGCATACACATGGTAGAGAAGAGTGTTCATTTAGTCACTCAACAAACACTGACTACCCTCTGCAGCACAGTCCCTCAGACACAGGAGGAAGCACAAAGATGAGAATCTCCACACTCCTAAAGACCTACATACACCACACACATCTGATGGTTTCTTAATGAGTGTCCACTATGGATTAAGTGATGGGCGCAGACGATATGACAGTCACCTGTGATTACGGACTCAGCCTGCAGAATCCAGCAAGGGCAGGCTCCTATGCAGAACGTGGCTGTCACCCAGACACCCGAGTCAGTGAAGTGGGCTTTACCTTTACTGTGTGTTCATCTTCATCTGTCGGTGAGCAGGAGCCACTGAGTGAGTGTCACGTGCATACCCACACCACTGCGCAGCACTGTAAGACAGAAAGGAACCAAGGGTCATAATGGAGTGGTGCCAGGGTCCAAAAAAAGCACTGAACACTGGTACTCAAAACCCAGTGGTCCCATGTGACCTCACACACAGACATACACACACACACATCCTGGGAGGCTGTTGAGCTCAGGCTGAGTCAGCAAATATTTCCCAATCCTGGAAGGAGTCTGCACTTCCAAGCAAGCAGACACCAGCTCTGCGGATCTTACCTGGGTGGGGCGGAAGGAGATGGCAAGGTAAGGAAGAGGTGCCCAATACCCACCCCACTAGCTCATAAAAGGAGAGGCTCTGAGTCATACAAGATTCCTGAGGGGAACACACAGAGAGACTGGAGTCACACCCCAGTCACCAGCTCCGAGGTATGAAGGCCATGGGAGAAGACCTGCATGCCTGAAACCTGATGCTGAAGGCCCTGCCAGGCTCCAGATAAGCACCCAACTCTCCTCTGACACCCTGGAATCCCGCTGCTACAGCAAGCCACTCCTCCCCTGGCTCTAAGGGCACACAAACATGCTCAGTGACATCAAATCATCATCAAATCATCTCCAAGAAACAGCCTCAGGGCAATCTGGGACGACATGGCACAGACAAGGGCACTGGGCACAGGGCTTTGGACATAATACAAGCCAGAGCCTGGCAGGACAGACAAGCCTGTGTGAACACTGGGAAGGGAGGAATGCTGGCATTGCCAGGACCCCCAGAGGCAGTAGAGTATATACTGCCCCCCCAAACATGCAGACAGCAGCACCCTGTGGAAGTGGGCCTCAGGATAGGCCTCAGCAGAAGCTGATGGAAGCCTCCTGAAGAGATGAGCCTCACTGTACCAGGACATGCCAGGCTCAAGCCCTGGGGACAGCTTGCACAACAGCCCAGCAGCTGTGTTCAATCCAAAATAGAGGCCTACTGGCTTCTCAGGCTAGTCTCCACACTGACCATCCTACTAGGCCTTTGAGGAGGACAGTAAGGGGCCATGGGTGGGGCTGCTTTCCCTGGGTGGCTTGAAGCACACAGAAGTGCAGCAGAGAACGGGCAAAAAGAACAGGAGTAGGGGGCGAGGGCAGGGGGGGTTGTCAGTTCAGTAAACCATGGAGATGATAGGTAACAGCAATGCAAGGGCCTATCCACCCACACCTTGAAAACAGGTATTGGCCCACAATCTGCAAAAGTCACCAAATGGAAAGCAACTAAGCTGGGTGTTGGTGGCGCATGCCTTTGATCCCAGAACTCAAGAGGCAGAAGCAGAGGCAGGTGAATCTCTGTGAGTTCAAGTCCAGCAGCCTGGTCTACAGAGTGAGTTCCAGGACAGGTTCCAAAGCAATAGAGAGAAACCCTGCCTCGAAAAATAAAATAAAAATAAATAGGAAAGCAACTATCCCCTTGAAGGCTGCAGAATGGATGCATCCCAGGAGGCTAACCGGCCAGCTCTGTACCTCGCCACAGAGCACTGCTGACAGTACAGCAGCAGACTGCTCAAGGGTGTTAGGTAGGGGACTAGAGAGACAGCTCAGAGGCTAAGAGCACTTTTACTTTTGCAGAAGACCCAGGGTCGATTCCCAGCACCCACACAATGGTTCACAACCATCTGTAATCCCTGGTCCAGCAGATCCAATGCCCTCTTCTAACCTCTGAGGGCACACAGCACCAAGTACACATGTGGTACACAGACATAAGCACCAAGAGTCTGTGTGGAGCCAGAGACTGGACTAACCATGGCCAAGCACTAAACTGCACCCCTCAAAAATGACCCAGGTGGGTTATCCCAGGAATACCAGCACTCAGAAGACAGAAGCAGGAAGATTGCCAGAAGCAGGAAGATTGCCGCCAGTTAGGAGGCTAACCTGACCTACCAAGTGAGCTCAAGGCCAGCCTGGGTTATAGAGTGAGTGATACTGCCTCAAATTTAAATGGGGGAGGTGTGTGGCTCAGTGGGTAAAGGCACTTGCCACCCAGCCTGCTGACCTCAGCTCAATACCTGGGACCCATACAACAGAGAAAACTGACTCCCAAAATTTGTCTTGCACACTCACAAAAATAAATAAATAAACGTAAAAGGTATTTTAAAAAATAAAGCCTTCCTTCTTCATAGGAATAAAAGATTTCTTCTAATCTACTCCACTACCCCAAATCCAGTGCTGCATAGAGGAGGGTTGGGGACCTGTGGAGAGGAGACTGGCTCAACCACAGGCCAGCCACAACCCATGCTTTCATGGAAAAGGGTCAGTGTACACCAAGATTACAAAACTGTAAGGTCTGGTCGAGCTGGTTCAGTTGCCTCCCTGTTGCGGCTACAGGGCCAATTCTGTTCTGTGGCCAATTCTGGCTTACAGAAAATGTGATCCTCAAAACTGGGTACCAGCGTAACCATGGGCTTGGGCTCCCCCTTCTAATGTGAATGTAGGGCACACTTCTAGAATCCACCAAGATCAGGTGGGGTAAAAAAGGATTTACATTCCTTCCTGAGGATGTCCCCAGGGGTCCAGACACATCTGAGACAATAAATGATCCATGTGCTTGGAAGTAGACAGCTCAAGTTCCGCCACAAGGGCTCCCTGCTGCAATCCCACAGCCTGCCCAGGCAGATGCCAAAGCAATACACCCCAGACCACACCTGGGTGGCAAAAGGAACTTCAGCTGCCTCTCCCAGCCACAGGAAATGAAGCTGTCCAGGAAAGGGAAGGAGAAAAGGCACCAAGGGACCACATCCAGTGACCAACATTCAAGGCACATTCCGTCAGTGACAGGACAGAAATTCAGTAGTCCTTATTCAAGACATCGTGACTAAAGGGTATAAATGTCCAACAGCCCCAGGGCTAGCAGGCCAATTATCCATTTGAAAACTCAAACAGGGAGAGGGGAAATGTATTCTGGGGCTGGTGAAGGGGCTCAGCAAAGGTGCTTGCCAACAAGCACAGGAGAGAATAAGACAACCAACTCTCAACACCGGGAAGTTGTTCTCTGATCTAAACACACCTACACCCCACATCCACACCCCACATAAATAAATAAATGTAACTTTTAAACAACAACAACAGCATTCTAGAGCCAGTACGGGAAAGAAAACCCAAGATAAAGACCACAGTCACCCCTGGGCACGGCTTCCGGAGACTTCTCTTAGCTTTCTGGGATAGGGCAGTGCATGGAAGGAAGGAGTGAGGGTACAGATGGCTTAAAGTATCATGGTTTAAATGTGTTCCATAATAACCCAAATGAATCCTGTTTCCTGGAAGGGGAGAAGGAGTTATATGAGGCCTCCGGCTACCGCTGGCGCACACCCAACTCGGAGTCGACTCTCCCCAAGGGTTCCTGGAAGTCAACAGACCCATAAAGGGGAAGTATTGTAAAGCTGAGATTAGAAGGGCCTAACACTGGACATCCCTCCCAGTGCAACACCCAGTGAACCCTCCCACCCGAAAAAACCTGGTCAAGAATGGTCAACACCCCATTCTACCGCCCTCCCATCTCAACCGAAGGTGAAACAGAAGCCTATCATGTACCTCTGGGTTCTCCCCGAGGCAGAGGCAAAGAACGTAGAAGCGAAGCGGTCGGGTGACAAGAGGTGAAAAGGACAAGATTGCTACCAAGGAAATCAGGGCCTCTGCCTGTAGCCAGGATAGAAGAGGCTTCCATAAACCGGACCGGCTCACAATATCCTAGGGAAGATTGGGAGAGATCAAGCAATCGAAAAAGCAGGGGACAGAGATGGGGAGAGAGAGCAACGACCGACAGTGCAAGGACGGGAAGCTGTCGAGAGAGGCAGATCTCCAAAGACGGCTGGGTAGAGTAGCACCAGAGAGGCACTCAGGAAGAGGTCAGAGGGAGGTGGAGACGGGGTTCTCGTGGAATCGGAAGGAGATGAGGCCACGGGGCCCCAGAGCGGAGCAGGGTGGGTGGGAGGAGGCAGGGATGCGGGTTTGCAGCAGCCACAGGGGTCTCCATCCAGTGGACCCCGGCGGTGGCGCCTCAGCGCACAGGCCGAGCATGGAAGAGCTGCAGCCGCGCGGAACGCAGCCTCCGGAGCCCCGACCCCACCGTCCACCTCGGCCCGGGCCGCGCTGGCCTCTCCCGACCCGCTCGGACCTGTCCCGGCCGTCTCCCGCACCGCGGCCGCAGCCGTCCCGCAGGCTCCGCAAAATCCCCCAGCTCCTGCCAAAACTTTTCCCATTAATCCCCGGCTCCGCCGCGGCCGTGGCGTCACACGCTCCGAGCCCCGCCCCCGCCCCCGTCTCGCTGACGTCACCGCGCCGATCGCCCCGCCCCCTCCAGGCACTCGCCACGCCCTCTTCCTCTAGAGCAGCAACCAATCGCCGCGCTGCCGGAGCCATCGCTCCGCCCACCGAGCTGCTGCCCCTGGCGCGTCAGCAGCGCCCTCTGGAGTAAGTTGTGGGAGCAGTCCCTGAGGAAGGCGCTGGGGAGAAGTTATGGCGAGTAAAACGAGTCCAGCAAGTATCACAAAAGGAAATTTAAAGCCAGACAAGAAGGTGGAGGTCATCTAGTACACCCTCCTCGCTCTCCCAGAGAAGAAACGAGGCACAGATTTGTGTGGCTTGGAAGAAGCAAAGCTAAGGGCGGCAGGCCAAGGACAAACTGTAATTTTCAAAAGAGTTCGAGGATAGCACATGGGGGAAGACCTGGGGGTGAAAATACATACACAGACACATGCATTTTTAAAGTATGTGTCTATGTATATATGTCTGAGTGTTTTGTCTGCGTGTCTGTGCCCGCTACGTGCGTGCAGTGCCCGCTGAAGCCAGAAGGAGTTGGATTCCCTGGAAGTGGAGTTACAGCCAATGGAGAGCTTCCGTGCATCCATGTAGATGCTGGGAATTGAACAGGAGTCCTCTGCAAGAGCGTTAAGTGCGCTTCACCACTAAAACATCTCTCCAGTCCTCCAGTTTTTGTTTTTAATTTGACAAGAAAACTAGTGGCTAATTCGATGATTTAGCAGGTAGCCATGCTTTGCCTTCAAGATGACGAGTTCAGTCGCTGGGACACACATAATGGAAGATGATAACTACCTCCTGAAGGTTATCCTCTGACCTGTACACAACACACACACACATACACTCACGTGCATAAAAAATGTAATAATATTAAAAAGGAAGAACTGGGAGGTATGATGACATTGTAACTTCAGCGCTTGGGAGGTGGATGAAGAAAGATTAAAGGTCATCTTCAGCATAAAAAGCAGTTCTAGGCCAGCCTGGGTCATGTGAAACCCTGCCCCAACAGAAAAACAAGTTCAAAAAGATCTCTGTCACTGGAAACTCAAGGTCGGGTGCCTTTTGTCCATCTAAGTCAGTAGTTGGCTTCCCTGGTAGAGGAAATTCTGAACATCTAGAAGTGGGATCTCTCATCCCAATTTGCCCCTTACCATGTACACTAAGAGGGTGTGTAGCCAGAAGGGAATCTGGCAGGAACTGATTTCATTGTCTTGGAATAAACAAGACTTGACGGGCAGGAATAGTCAGCTGTACCTCCCTCCTCAACACCTCCACTGAAGGTTACCTCTGCCCTCTTCAGGCACTCCTTATACCACATCTGCAGCACAGTGCTCTAGATTAGATATTCCCACACCACTTATTTTGTTTCTGTATCTCTCTCTCTCTCTCTTTCTGTGTGTGTGTGTGTGTGTGTGTGTGTGTGTGTGTGTGTGTGTGTGTGTTTATGTTCTAGCTTGGAAGACAGAGAAGAGTGTTGAGTGTCCTCCAAGGATAGATTTCCACATTGTTCCTTTTTTCAAGAGACAGGGTTTCTCTGTGTAGCTCTGGCTGTTCTGGAACTCACTCTGTAGACCAGGCTGGCTGGCCTAGAACTCACAGAGATCCACCTGCCTCTGCCTCCCGAGTGCTGGGATTAAAGGTGTGCACCACCACTGTCACCCAGCAGGAGTTAGTTTCTAATCTTGGGACTAAAAAAACTAGGAAATAATTTCTGTTCCCAAAGATGACAGACAGCTTCCCATGCTGCTCAAAACCAGAGCCCATACGATCATCCTTGTCTCGTCATATGTCAGTATGATGTTCTCTACATTAGTAAAACCCTATGCCTTGCCACAGGACACTGGAGAGCCCAGAATACACTTCACTTACCACTGAGGAAAAAGGCACAGGGGATAGTTGGTGATCTTGAGTCTAAATTCTGCACAGGGCTGGGAAAGTAGGAAAGCCCCATTTGATCGCAGCATGGCAAGAATACAAACTGGCCTTAGCCACATATAATGTATGCACACCTACAACGGAACACTTGAGAGGTAGGAGCAGAAGTTCGAGGACAGCCTCAGCTACACAGTGAGTTCCAGGTCATTTTGGAATATATGAGACCCTGGCTTAATAAACAACCCCAAAACAACAAACTGTATCTGACATACGGTTGATGATTTGTCAGTCATGGTGGTTGGTGCATGCCTGTAATCCCAGCTCTGGGAAGGCTGGGGCAGATTGAGATCTCAAGCTCCTAACAAGCCTGGGTATAGATCTTGTGATGGGGAATGTTGTTCTGTATATGTTTATCTTATTGGTTAATGAATAAAACACTGATTGGCTGATTGGCCAGACGGAGTGATGAAGCTGGGCAGAATCAGAATATAAGCAGGGACAAACAGGAAATCACTTGAGACACTGAGCAGTCATGTAGCAGGCAAAGAAGTTACATGTCCAGCATTCCCCGGTAAAATAAGAGCACGTGGAAATACATGGATTAATAGAAATGGGTTAAATATTAAGGCAGAGCTAGCCAATAAGAAACCTTAGCCAACGGCCAACAGCTTTATAACTAATACAGCATCTGCATGTTCATTTGGGGCTGAAGTGACAGTGAGGCCCTACCAGCCAAAAACCTCACGTTACAATCTTGTCTCAAAAAAAAAAAAAAAAAAAAAAATCACAATAAAGATTTGGAAATCAAACAATCAATTCACAATTAGCTCTGTCTGGTTTTCAGGAAACTCTTAATCAGGCAGGCCTTCCTTCATCTTTCCTTTCTTCCCGCTCCATGTATGTGCATGCGCGCCGCGCGCGCGTGTGTGTGTGTGTGTGTGTGTGTGTGTGTGTGTGTGTGTGTGTGTAGGGGGTGTCTTACTATGTTCCTGGCTTTCCTAGAATTCACTCTGCAGACAAGGCTGCCCTGGAACTCACAGAGATCTGCCTGCCTCTGCCTCCCAAGTGCTAAAAATAAAGGTATGCACCACCTTGCCCAGAGGTTATTTGATTTTTATCATCTCTTTTCCTTTTTCTCCCCCCTCCCACTTTTTCTGTTTTTGTTTGCTTTGTTGTCTCATTATTGTTTGGGATTGACAGGGTTTCACATATTCCAGGATGGTCTCAAACTTCCCCTATATGTAGCCAAGGATGACATTGAACTTCTGATCCTCTTGCTTCTACCAGTTTATTTATCATTAGTGTGTGTATGCACGTGTGAGTGTGCATACGTGCAAATGTACATGTACTATAAAGAGCATGAGGTCAGGGGACAGCTTCCAGGGACTTTGAACTCCTGATTCTCCTGGGTAGTCCACTCTTGAAAGAGAATTATTGGGTGAAGTAATGGCCAATCTTCTTTTTGAAAGCAGAGAAGGCAGGGAGATTGAGAACAGGGAGACAGTTTCATTAGACAGCACTTGACAAACTGATTTCCTTCCAACTCTTTCCACTCTATAGATTCCCTTCTCCAATTAGAAGGACATTAACCCATCAATCCTACCCCTCCAATAGCTAGATCGTGTGTGTGCATGCGTGTGTGTGTGTGTGTGTGTGTGTGTGTGTGTGTGTGTGTGTGTGTGTGTGTGCTTGCTGAGATGGAGACTCAATATGTAGATCAGACTGGCTTATAAGTTTTTTTTTAATCTGCGTATTCCCCCTCCCCCCTGTCCTTTCTAGGGGGAAACTTTTGACCCACTGGCCTCCATGCCTCCTCCTGTACTCCTCCCTTCAGTACTGGGATTATAGCCCCTTATGGGGCTCGGTCTTTATGTGCCTGGAAATACTCAGCACTTCTTCAGACGTACTTATTCCATGTTGTCCTCCTCTCCTTCATATTTGCGGGACACTAAGGGCTTGGCGGCTCACACCTGACATTTCAGTATGTAAGAGGCTGTCGGGAGGAGTGTGAGCGCAAGGACAGTCTGGGCTACAGAGTGAGTCTGAGGGCAGCCCAGCATACAGCAAGAATACATATTTAAACAAATTAATAAACACAAGGAAAGTGAGGGAGGGCCAGGATGAAGAGGCAGCCCCTGAGCGGTGAGTGGTAAGGAGGGAACATTTACAATTGGCTTCCATCAGCACCGCAGAAATAAAACAGCAGCCGGGGCAATCTTAACTCCCAGTGCCTCCGCAAGCCCCCCTCTGCTCCAGTCATTCCCACACCACTTGGAGTTTGGACTTCCAATCCCAGCCCTCACCCCTGCACCCTCTCATGGTAGCAGCTGTTCTGTAACACTTCAAACGTTACAAACTTCCTTGAAAGAGCACCAGGTTCACTTGCAGAAGCTGTGAACTTTGTAATCAGATAGCAAGAAAGCTCCAGGAGGGCAGGAACCATTTTTAGATAGTAGCTCACGCTAAATGTAAAACCTGGCACATAATCCTGACTCACCGAATTGGATGGGGGATGGGCTTGAGCTCCAGCCTCAGCTACATCATCACGTTCTAACTGTGCCATACCCAGCCGCACATCACATCCATTTAATATATGTTTGTCACACAGATTTCTCAGGAGCCAGCCTGTGCCAGGCACTGGGGACAACACTGAAGATTTGTCCTTGCCTTCAACATTAAGTTACAAATGCTGTGACAGGAAATGAGAAGAGGTGAAACCTGGAAGAAGCAGGAAGCTGAGGCTAGATCCCTGAGGCAAAATTGTACCAGGAAGGGATCTTCCTTGGTTGATTGCCATGGCCCTCGTTTCCCATGAGGAATGGAGGCAGGTGAATTTGATGTGTCAAAACTCACAATGCAGGTCCAGAATGATTCCTGTGACTGACTACGTGTTAGAAGGAGAGAGCCAACTCCTGAAAGTTGTCCTCTGACCTCCACACATTCACCGTAGCACATGTGTGTGCGCACTTGTAATCCCAACATTTGAAAGATTCAGGCAGGAGCAAACTGAGTTTGTGGCCATCCTGGGCTATAGAGTGAGATCCTGTCTCAAACAACAAACCCTTTCAGACAACACCAAGGGGCATTTTGGAATTCCCATCCAGGCAGCAGGATT